AAACAAAGGATCTATTGTTTAAAATTTTAAATCTCTTTGAAATTTTTAAAATTCTTTTCTTGTTTGTTTTTTCTTTTAAAGATTTTTTTTTTCCTTATGGATATTTCTTTGTATTTGGATATAAAAAATCAACAATATGTTTTGAAAAAAAAAATAATCAAGTAAAAATTCTTGCATATTTTGCTGATCAAAAAACCAATATTGTTAAAAGGAGTACGTAGATTTTATTGTGAGAATTCTGATTTTGAAAATTTTTATATTGATTGTTTACTTAATCGGCGATACTATTATCATACTGTACTAGTATTTTTTTAATCTTATTAAAATTTATATATTGTAATATTGTATGTTGCCTGTATGATGGATTTTCGATAGATAGATCGATTAAAATTCTTTGAATTTTTATTTTTAATTTACTAAGTACGCGAGTTCAATTTTAAAAACGCAACCTGCATAAACTATATATAGCATGGGTAGTATAACATCGTTGATCTATTATTGTACACATGATTTAACAAAACATAAATTAAATGAGAATATTTCATTGACATCAACGGTGCTGTGATCACATTTTTGCTTTATTTATCAATAATAAGTTTCATGTTGCTTAAACAATATTATATAATTGGCTTGAAAGGAAGGAATAGGGTACCATATTTATATTAAATGGACAGGAAATGCTTGAGATCGGTTATGCATATATTCACAATGTTCGCAATGAATCTCATATTACATCAGAACTTTATTTCGGTCTGTACGCGAGCCTATCAACTATATCGTAACGAATTAGCAGAATGGTAAAGTGTAGAGTTCCTTGTCAATTCATTGAGTCAGGTATCACGACCGCAAGGAAATATTCGTTATCACATACATAAATGGCCCCACAACACACATACCTAATATGTACATAATAGGTAAAAGATAAACTAGTTTATGATTATCTTGTTCCGAAAAACATCGGATATTACAACGTCGGATATTACATCTTCATTTTTACTTACCGAAAAGGGAGCAACGCACAGGTCTTCAAAAACATGCTTCGAATAAATGACGAGTCTAAACCATTTTTTCGTTAGATCTAGTCGTTCTCACTATTTATACGAGTACGATATCTATATAAATTATTAAATTAAGAAATGCGTACCTACCTACAGTATAATATTTGTCATACGATTCTAAGTTAAAGGAAGATAAGGAGTGCTTTGTTGTAGTCGATGGGTAATTTTATTTTGAAACAAAAGATCCCGGATCAATGGGTCGCACAATTAACGTCAAATGGACAAGTCGAACTGCGGCTGCTGCAGTTAGATTTACCGCAATTTTGTTTTACCACCCGAATTTAATTCGGAGATTTACGAGATCTGTTCTCCCTAACCAAATCCTGCATCGATTCACGTGATCATCAAAAGATCATCACGCATGGCAAATATAGTCTATGGGACTCGATACATTCATTAATCGAGTTGTTATGCCAGATGAAATTATCTTTGATGATTTCGGGAATCGAGCCAAAGGCCGAATAATTTGAATGATTTCTATCCGATTATCACAATGATAATTAAAGTTTGAGAATTTGTGTAAATTAGACTTATGATAAATTTAAGTTAGCGATATCCTTGTATTAACTTTGTGACAGCGTGTGTGCCAATAAAATCATCAAACACAAACACTTGATGTTTCCTTTTATTCACTTAAAAGGACAATCGCAAAAGGTAAAATCCGTTCAGCTAATTGAAGTGGACAATGATTTCCTTTATTCTAAAATTGAGCGGTAGACAATAATAATATTATAATAGAATTTAGCATATAAAAAACGTTATCTTTCGATGTGTGTGCCAGTTTCGACCTCTGAAATTTTCTGCATTTCTTTTTCTCAATTCTTTATACTTTCCGAGTGACATCACATCGTGCATTAAAGTAATGTAAATTTGTTTCACCAATTCTACATATTTGAAAGTGATTTCCATCAGGTGCATTTTTTCGAAACAAAAAAGTATAACACCACCGATTTTCAGGCATCATCCCCGTAAAGTGCATTAAATAAAGTTCATTTCCACTACATTTGTTCAAATTCCTGTCTTTTCACTCTTCCCAAGCTTTCCCGTTTGCTAATAATTTTTTGCGCAAGTACCGTCGTCGCAATAATAGTTTGGCGAGTGAAATACCTGGATATTTGGATAGAGTTTACTAAAAAAACAATAATAATTAAAGCTCCCTGGTAAGTTATTGGTTTCTGTGCATTCTTTTGGACTTTTCAATTTAAACTTACCATGTTAATTAATTTTTTTTTACCTGACCTTGGCAGGTGGACCCTTAGATTTGTAAATTTATATATAATTCTATTTATCAACGTTTAATAATTCAAAAACAAAACCATGTCACGAGGAGACTCTGGATATATGAGCTCAAGTGATTGTCCAGACATCTTTGAAAAAACAAAAGAAGAAATCAAGCAAATCGAAGAACTCTATAGAATAAAAAATTCAAGGCCGTTTTTTGTTGACCAAAATAACGGATCTTGCTTGACAGATAATCTTAATAATAATGCTCCGCCTCTTCAGAGAAACAAATCACCGAAGATACTACCTTCTGACAACACCCCGAACGAAGCAATTCCGACAGGGTCGTCGGTACCAAAAATACTGAAGGGTAAACGGTCACGCGCTTTCAGTCCTTCATCTGAGCAACAGCAATCAACTCCAGGGCCAACAATACCAATCCATCGCGCAACAGCTTCATTAGATTCCAATCAAGTTAAATTAACATCCGAGGCTCATAAGATGAGACAAAAATCAGCTCCTTGCTCGCCACAAATACTCCCCCTATCAAGGCTTCCATTGCCCATCCCAGTAACAGGATCGGCACCAACTCATCGTAAGGCGGCCTCAGTTTCAACAACACTCGATGCTCATAAGATGGGTCAACAGTTAGCCCCTAATTCGCCACCGTTATTGCCCCTGCCAAGAAACCCACCTTGCATGTCGGTATCGGGATCAACAACACCAATTCACCGAGTAATGGTTTCGCAAGGTTATAACCAAGCTACATCAACATTTGATTCCCATAAGATAAAACAACAATCAGCTCCCTGCTCGCCACCATTATTGCCCTTACCAAGGCTCCCGCAGTCCATGCCGGTATCCGGTTCAACAACACCAGTTCATCGAGTCACAGCTCTGCAAGGTGGCAAACAAATTACATCAACAGCATCCGATGCCCATAAAATAAGACAAGCGTTGTTATATCATCGAAAAATGTCACTTATTAATGAATCATCGCCGGAAGCGCACAAAGTGTCGAATGAATCGTCCACTCCGTTGCCACCTGCAGAGAATGCAGAAGTTCTTTCGCCATGTGATTTTCGAGATCTCATTGAGCAATATTATGAAGATCTTGATGAAATGGATACACGTGAGGAAAAGAAACTTTTGGAAGGTAATATATTGATTTTCTTACTCTTTGTTTTCGATTTGCTGTCTACAGATAATTGATGCGAACTATTGACTTCTTAGAGATGGCCGCAAAAAATCGTAAGCGTGAAGCCGCAGTGAAAGAAATTGTTACTACAGAAAGAACTTACGTCGATGGTATAAACAAATGTGTGGAATATTTCTTGAAACCTTTACGCGGTAATTGCCAAAAATCAAATCACAGGCATACTCTCTTGTTCGCTAAACCATTTGTTACATCGGACGAAATATCCTCGATATTCGGAAACATCGAAATGATACTGTCGTTGCATCAACAATTACTTAAATCCCTAGAGGAGAGATACTCGGAATGGAACCCGACGAGTTTAATAAGCGATATTTTCTTGCAAAATGTGAGTTCAAGTTTAATTAATGGGTAGTGCAGTCGTTATTAGAATTCTGAAATCTAAACTTGTTCACGAAATTTAGGCGCCTTTTCTTAAAATGTATACTGTATATGTAAAAAACTTCCCACGTGCAATAGAACTTACAGAACGACTTGAGAAAGGGAGTAAGGAATTTAGAAAGTTCATACAGGTACTTGGCAAATTTCGAAAGGTCGATCCATCTTACTCAAGTTTTATTGAGGTTAATATTCATTTTGACATTGCAGAGTATTCTTGGAAAAGCAGAATTGGGAGGACTATCCTTTAACTCATTCCTGAGTCTACCAATTCAAAGAATTCCACGATATAAATTATTGTTGGAAGCATTATTAAAACACACCGATGAATCACATCCCGATTTTTTTCAGCTTGAAAACTGCGTAAAACAAATTTCGGTTATTGCTGATGAAGTTAACGAAAAGTAAATGCGCTTGTTCTTCTCACGTACAATGTTACTGTACCTGTCATCACGCCATCATCTTTCTTACTAATAAATTTCTTCACCTTCCTTGACAGAATAAAAGAAGCCGAGAATCAAAATAAAGTTTTGGAAATTCAAAACAAAGTTGAAAGATGTCCCATCATAGTCAACCCTGCACGAAAGTTCATTCGCGAGGGGGATCTATTTAAAGTATTATATCGACATACGGTCAAGAAGACAGCATGTTTTGTGTCGACAACTGAGACTCTGACGCATTATTTATTTAACGATCTCGTGGTGTGTTGTTCTAAAGTTCAAGGAAAAATTACATATCAAGAACAAATTGATTTGAACTACGCTTCGATCGTAGATATTGAAGATAATTTATCAGATAAACCATTTTGCTTCAAAATAATTGTTAAAACGCCGTTAGAGGAAAGGCATCATATTGTTAGAGCTTTGGATGAGTGCACGAAATTAGACTGGATATTAAAACTTGAGGATGCCATCTGTACCCTGAGAAATGGGAATATTGAGGGAAGAAGTAAGTTTTAAAAATGTTTATATACCATGTCTTTTGTTTGATGTTGAATTCTTACATCTAAAAAAAATTTTTTTTTTTTTTTTTTATCTCTACACAACAGAATTAATCCCAATTCGACAGACACATGGTTTTCCATTTACTGTAAGCAACGAGTTCATTCCCCCAACATCACTGCATTTTTCGCTTAATATGCAAGCACCGCTTTATTCATCATTTTGAATTTAATAATTTAAGAATCAAAAAGAATGAAATCTCTGACGTCCTATGG